ATAATAATAATAATAATAATAATAATAATAATAATAATAATAATAATAATAATAATAATAATAATAATAATAATAATAATACAAAAGTGACACCTGGTGATGAAATAATCCCGTATTATATGTGGAGGACTGGCCGTGGAGGGCGTTGAATACAAACAACAATATGTTATATACAATTCGATCCTTTACCGTGACTGTAAGCGAGTGCAGAGTAATCAAAGTAGATGTAATATAGTCATAGTTTATTTTCTTCAAAATAACCCTAGCTATTGCCTTCTGTGGCCTTCCCAATAACTGACATTCATTATACCATACAATAAACTATTGCAGTAATCCAACCTCGATCCCACAAAAGTATGAACAATAGTATTTGTTTTCTGATTTGGGAAAATCTATACAGATGATAAGATAACGGTTTTGTTACCTGAATAACATGACTTGCCATATACAAAAGTTTATCAAACATCACACCCAAATTACGAACATCACATCTCACAGATCGAAAGTACAAACATCACTACTCACAGATGTTACGATCATCACCTTTCTCAGAAATTAAACTATTATCCACTTCGAGGGAAATCAAATTTAATTTCTTAATGTGCAGAGGCTTTCTAATTACTAAAATATCTGTTTTCCCGGGATTTATTTTTTGGTTTTGTTTGAAATGTATACATAGGGATGTTTGACCCCCTGATCAAACAACTATGGTATATACTCTCTGAAATACTAAAACATTGTTCAAGACTTTCTAATATATTGTAGTAAAGCTATATGTGAAACCTACCTCAGTTAATGCATTCCATAGATCCGTCATTCTTGCGTTACTGTACTTAAATCGGTTTAGATATTTCTGATAAAATAAAGAATTGGCGTGCGTTACTACTATAGACACGTGTGGGTTCTTGTTTTTAGAAATATTGATTGTTGGTTACGTTTACCCTTGACTGACCGTTACTGTAACTATTCATGCTTATTAAACATGCAGTATTACAAATTAACTCGCCTAAACCAATCAGACAATATTTGTGGTAAATGTTACAAATAACCATGGTAACAAGGTGTTCACACTGATTGATACTACATAGCTCTATTCATTAGAACTAATGCCGGATAACCGAAAACAAATGACAATATACATTATTTATAAATACACTATTCTACGAACAGTGTTTTTGTCGTTGAAAAGCGCAACTTACTTTAAGTCCATTTCTGAATGTTGTTTCACCTAAAAAGTATCGAAGCATTCTGATAATCGATGCTCCCTGTAATTAAAAAAAATGACGTCACTTCGTATGGTACAGTATATTGCGACCCAAATAAATCGAATATTCAAAGAATAATTGGATCACCTTGCTGTAAGATATAGAGTCAAATATAGAGTTGATTTCATCCACGTGGTTTACTGGTACGGATATTGGATGTGAGGAGGTGAGGGCGTCCAAACCAAACGCTACATGAACGTCGAGAATCAAAAACTGGTCAAGCTGAACAAAACATAAAAAAGTACAGTTATTTCAAGTGTAATCGATATTTACTGTGCAATACAAATTCGTAGTGATAATATGTGAAATCTTGAGTGAAAATGTTAACATCACACATTGACGTCAAACGGGCCAATCGCCCATAACACGATGTAAACGTCACACGAGCTACTCGCATCACATGAACCACCCACCTAAAACATATTTACGTCACATGAGCCACTCGCCCACAACACAATAACGTCACACGAGCCGATAACCAACGACACTTTGACGTCATACGGGCCGCTCGCCTACAAAACGTTGACGCCACACGAGTCAACAACCCGTGACACGTTGACGTCACACGGGCCACGGCAAGTGGTTTAGGCTACCCGGACACAACACGCTTACGTCATATGAGCCACTCCCTCTCAACACTTTGAAGTCCACAACACGCTGATATCACAAAGGACGCTCTCTCGTAATACACGTACGTTGACGTCACGCACATGAACCACTAGACTGGCAAAGTCGGGACTTCTTTTTTTGTTTTACAATCAAAAATATAATTAATTTTAAATTTAGCCTTTTTAACGTGATCGCGAAAACAAGCGTGACTGCGAAAAAAATCCCGACTGGACGCATCAGCAAGCGACCCCCTGCGTTGGAGAGAAACCGGAGAGAAATCACTCCGGTGGTTATGCTAATTAAAGGGCGGTAGTCGTTGCGCCGCGTCCTGTTCGATATTGGACTCGTAGCGACTTATACAACGTGTGTAAAATACATTGTTTATTTACATGAAATTCGAACACGCGCTGCGCGACGACCACCGCGCTTTAAAAGTTGTTGACTAGCATTGACAACGAATCAGAG